TGGAGGTCTCCTAGGCAGGACCCCTCTGTGGCCTGGGCAGCACTGCCAGATTCAGTGAGTGCTCGAAGTCCACTCACCTTCACGTGGAGCGGGGGCTGTCACAGCTCTAGAACCTCAGCTGGCCTGTGTCACCTGCTGCTACGTAGCCCCCACAGCCCGCCTCACCCATTGTCACCTGGCTACATTGTAGCTGTTGGCTGGTTTGCCAGGTTACAACGTTCACCTCACAGAGCTGCAGAGGAAACAAATGCATCAGCAGGAAGAGGATCTATGAGCTCCCCACAGTGGTCCACGACAGTGTCATGGAAACTGTTCCTGTGAGTCCCCACTAGGCCACGGTATCATTGCACCCCACCACCTGCCAGGTGTACTGCTGTGGTGTGTGTGGCTGGGAGGCTGGAGGCTATGCCACCGGTATTGCAGGTACCAGCAGGGTCACCCATGGTGGACAGGGTTCAGCTGAGTTTCCAGACTAAGATGGACTCGGAAGAAGAACGTGGCACTCTACTTCTGAAGAGGCCACTGAAAGCCTTATGAATAGCAGTGAAAAGCTGTCAAACAGAACGTTTCTAGACCTGTCCTGACGTACAATGCCGTCAGTGATGGGAGGGCATCATGCACCTACGAAGACCAGTTAATACTAACTAACTAACCACTAAGCCACAGGTGAAGAAAATGAAGGTTTGTTTTTTTTTTTAACCAACTTCTGCATTCTGAAATTGACCAAACATGCAATCAAGAAGTACTGGTTAGTGCTGGTGACTGGAATGCAAAAGTTGGAAACAAACAAGGATCACCAGTAGTTGGAAAATAGGGCCTTGGAGATAGAAGTGTCACCAGACATTGCATGACAGAATTTTAAAAGACCAATGATTTATTCATTGCACTTTTTTTTTTTTTAAACATAAATGGTGGCTATACACATAGACCTTGCCAGATGGAGTAACAGGAGTTAGATTGACTACATCTGTGGAAGGAGGCAATGGAGAAGCTCAGTATCTTCAGCCAAAACAAGGCCAGGAGCTGAGACCATTAATTGCTCATATGCAAGTTTAATTTGAAACTGAAGAAAATTAAAACAAGTCCATGAAAGCCAAAATATGACCTTGACTATAACCCATATGATTTTAAATAAAGATCACCGGAAGAACAGATCTGATGCGCTGAACACCACTGACTGAAAACCAGAGGACGTGTGGGATGACATCAAGAACATCATCCGTGAAGGAAGCAAAAGTCATTAGAAAGACAGGAAAGGAAGAGAAGGCCAAAATGGATGTCAGAAGAGACTCTGAAACCTGCCCTTGAGCAGAGAGTAGCTAAAGTGAATGGAAGAAATGATGACATAAAAGAGCTGAACAGAAGATTTCAAAGAACAGCTCGAGAAGACAGATTCAATTATAATGAAATGAGCAAAGACCTGGAGTTAGAAAACCAAAAGGGAAGAACACACTTGGCATTTCTTAAGCTGAAAGAACTGAGGAAAAAATTTAACCCCTGAGTTGCAATACTGAAAGATTCTATGGGCAAAATATTGAAAGATGCAGGAAGCACCAAAAGATGATGGAGGAAATACACAGTCACTGCACCAAAAAGACCTGGTCGGTGTTCATCCCTTTCAGGAGGCGGCATATGTTCAAGAACTGAAGGTACTGAAGGAAGTGGCAAAAAACAAGGCTCCAGGAATTGACGGGATACCCATTAAGATGTTTCAACAAACGGATGCCGCACTAGAGACAGTCACTTGGCTATGCCAGGAGATTTGGAAGGCAACTACCTGGCCAAGCACCTGGGAGGGATTGCTATCTGTGCCCATTCCAAAAAGGGACGATCCCAAGGAAATGTGGGAATTATAAAACAATAGCATTAGTATCACGCACAAGGAAAACACTGCTGAAAAAACTTAAAAAAAAAAAAAAAAATGGTTGCAGCAGTATATTGACAGGGAATTTCCAGAAATTCAAGTGGGATTCAGAAGAGAACCTGGAACGCGGGATACCTTTGCAGACGTCAGATGAATTTTTTAAAACGCGAGAAAACCAGGAATATGTTTATCTGTGTTTCACTGGCTACTCAGACACTCGACTGTGTGGATGGAAACAAACCATGGACAACACTGCAAACAGGAATTCCCGAACACTTAACTGTGCTTAAGAGGAACCGGAACATAGGCCAGGAGGCTGTCACTGGGACAGAACAAGGGGCTAGTACATGATTTAAAATCAGGAAGGGTGTGAATCAGGGTTGTAGCCTTTAACCATATTCATTCAAGGTGATGCTGAGCAAATAAATAATCCAAGCTAGTCTACACGAAGCGCACGGTATCAGGACTGGAAAATGACTCGTCGACCTGCAACGCACAGATGACACAACCTTGCTCGCTGCAAGTAAGGCTGACTTGAAGCACTTACTGATCAGATTAAAGACTACAGCCTTCACTATGGATGACACCTCAACATAAAGAAAACAAAAATCCTCCCAACTGGACCCGTAAGCAATGTCATGACAAATGGAGAAAAGATTGAAGTCGTCGGGGATTTCATTTTACGTGGCTCCACAATCAACACCCATGGACGCAGCAGTCAAGAGATCAGATGACGCACTGCACTGGGCACATCTGCTGCAAAGGACCTCTTCAAAGTGCTGAAGAGCAAAGATGTCACTCTGAAGGCTAAGCTGTGCCTGATGCAAGCCATGTTGTCAATCGCCTCATACACATGTGGAAGCTAGAAAATGAATGGGGAAGACCAGCGAACCGATGCCTTTGAACCACGGTGTTGGTGAAGAATACTGACTGTATCACGGACTGGCAGAAGAATGCACACGTGTGTTGGAAGAAGTGCAGACAGGATCCTGCTTGGAGGCAAGGCTGGCCAGGCTTCACCTCACATACCCCAGACATGTTGTCAGATGGGCCCCGGGCCTGGAGAAGGACATCGGCTCAGTGAAGCGGAGAGCCGGTGAAAACAGCAAGACCCTCCGTGAGACGCACTGACAGTGGCTGCGACAATGAGGTCAAGCACAGCCACACCTGGGAGGGCGACGCAGGACCGGGCGGTGCTCCGGTCTGTTGTACGTGGGCACTGCCCTGCCAACACGACAACACCACGGGATCAGTGGGCTCGTCACAAATGCCCCTCGGTGTCGGAGGAATGTTCCCCTGAACTTATTAGCATCAGAGTGTAAGCTTCGGAGAGGAAGCTGTCTGTCTTGGGCAATCTTTGTACCAAGCGTGGAACCTCAACCCAATGACAAAATAAGCATGTGTATTTTCTCCCAACAGCACTTGCGTCTTTGAACTCTATTTAGACCAGGCAGGCTGCTGGCTCCATTTTTACCGAATTAAGAAATTGTAAACACAGAAAAACGTGGGAGCCACCCCACCCCTTGGAAGGATGCACACATTCAAATAACCAAGGCTGGTTTCCAAAGTTTATTAAAAATCAAAGAATAGAAAAACCTTACATAAAAATATGTCAATTTTAGCTTCCCGATTGTTGTGCACACACACATCGGAGCATGATCTCTTTGCGCTAAGCCACAGAGGCAGCCGGGCCAACTCGGCAGCTCTCTCAGCTGCAAGGGAGCCTGGCCCTGCCCCTGCCCACACACAGGACATGGCCTGAATGCAGGCCTCCTCCTCCGAGTCCCGGCGAGGGCGAGTCGATATTGCTAATGCGTAGAGATTAGTACAGGCCGACGAGTCAGTGTGTATAAATATCTACCAACAGGTCCATGATTTAAATACTTTAAATACGTTGGATACCTCCTGCTCTCCAGGAGCGGCCGAGGGGACAAGCCCCTTGATTCCGGAAGGCCTCCGGGAGGGCCAGCAGGCCCGATGCAGTGCTCACAGTGCGTCCTCGCGGGCGCCCACCACTGGAGACACGGACTCCACACGGCCACCTGTCGATGTTCTCCCCAACTGGACTTCCAACTCCAGCCTACCTACAGCGTCAGCAGGGCCCAGGCCCGCGAGGTGTGGCCGACCCCAGGACAACCGCAGGGCTCCAGAAACTCGGGGTCTGGCAGGATGGAGAGTCTTGCTTGCAAAAAGCGACAGGACGTGGTTGTCATGGAAGAGGACGCTTGCATAGAACGGCTGTGTGCGTCTGAGCCTGTGGCCAGCCCGGGGGCCACAGAGCCGGGGTCCCCTCGTAGAGCTGCTCTTTACAGAACAAATGCACGCTGATGCACAGATTCCTGCATGGAATCAACACGGCGCCTTTCTCCACATTCCTAAAACTGGGCACCGCTTCCGTGTGACTGTCAGCAGCCTCGCCGTGGCCAGGCGGACAACGGCGGGCTGGGCCTTCCGGGGTCACGCTGGTTCCAAGATCCGACAGTGCACATCCCGTTCTCCCTCCAGAAAGTCACGCCTCGGGTGCTCTGAGCACTGGGTTTGTCATCTACTTGAGAGAACCACACCCAGAACCTCAGAACTGCGGGTCAGAGCAGGCCTGCGGGCTGCACGGCAGGCAGGGCAGCGGGCCGTCTGTCCCGTCAGTGAGCGCCTCGCTCCCCCCTCTGCCGAGGCCGCACATCTGACCAGAGGGCAAGCCGTGCAGATGGGCCTGGCCCCTGCGGATCCACGACGGTGTTCCTCAGACAACCAGGGACGCGATGGACCCAACTTAGAAAACGCAGCTGGGAAAGGATCTAGGCTTGTTTAAAAAACCCTCAAATATAACTTACGTGAAAATATGAAATTAAATAAAAAATATCTGAGTTATTGCACAAATCATAAGTTTTCGATATTTACATAGAAAACCAGTTCTGGAATTTCAAACAAAACATGAAGGCAGTAAAACAATGGTGACCCCGACCCCATCTGCTGAGGAGAAAGACGCAGAGGTCCCCTCCACTGCCCTGACAAACGGACAACAAGCCCAAGTCGCAAAGCGACCAACGCAGGCCAGCACGCGCACACGCGCTGTGCCCCGCAGGCCTGGGGCCGGCAGCCGTGCTCGGTCTGGTCGCGGGCGGGCGCGGCGGGGCCCTCATCTGCTAAGGCTGACGGGCAGGCTGTCCCTGGTGTGTGTGTGCTTCTTTCTCCTCCAGCCGCTGCGGCTGTACTGCTGGTGGCCCCGGTTCCCCACGGGCGGCCGCACGCCTCCGCTGCCTACCGCACTGTGGCCGCCAGCCTGGCTGTGGCCATGTGAGCCCCTCACCGACAGCTTCATGCCGTTGTGCTGCTGAAGAGACGGGGGGGGGGGGTCAGCACTGCAGCCCACGGGGTGACCTGTCCCCCAAGACACCTCGAGTCCCAGCCCCACCCAGGCTCTGTGAGCAGGGCCCCGGCTGGAAACATGGTCACTGCAGACGGAATGAGTGAGGGAACCTCGGGGGATGGAGTCCTTTGAAGAAGAGGAGGTGGACAGATACACAGACGGGGAGGAAGGCCACGTGGAGACAGAGAGTGGAGCGCCGGCCCCGCAGTGATGGGGCGAGGGCAGAGGGCTCCCCCGCAGCCTGCACAGGAGCGCAGCCCTGCCCGGCCCGGAACTCGGACTCTGGCCTCCAGAGCTGAGAGAGCGAGCTGGGAGGCTCTGCTAGGGCTGCCCCGGGAGATGAAGGCCGAGTCCGTCCGAGAAAACAGAGCCACGTACGTAGGGCCCGTGCACTGCTCCGCACTGTGGCAGCACGGCTGGGTTCATCTTCTCTAGAGAGAAGTCGGGTGTCACACACGAGAACACGTGGGAGCCGCCCGTCGCCAACCAACGTTTGCTGGGTGACCCTGCGTGCAGGCACTACCCACACTGCCGACCCACGTCTGCTGGGTGTCCCCATGTACTGATTAAGTGGTGGCCGAGAGAAAGCAGCCCCTCACATGCAGGCACGGCACGGCACCGTCGTGTTTGGGGGCTCAGGCAGGACCGTCCATGGGCAGCACCATGCCGCAGGCCCACCCCCACACAGCGGAACCACTCCCCTGCCCAGTCACAGGCCTCTACAGCACCCTCTGGCCACCGGATGCACAGAGGCTGCCGTGGGGCCCGGGGGCCCGGCTGGGCTCGCCAGGCCTGCCAGCTCTCACCCAATCACCTCCACACTGTGAAGCCCCCTCAAAAGCCAACCAAGAGAAGCCCAGGCAACACAACAGGGTGAACACGGGTGGGTGTTGGAGCAAACCACCTGGGGCGGGGGGTGGGGAGTGGGGAGGGGCCCAGCCGCAGGCGCTCCTGCAGGGCTCCAAGCCCACCCCGACTTCCTGCCAGGTCAGCAAGGAAAGCTGGGACAAAGCCACAGTGACGGGAGACCCAGGCAGGGATGTGCCACCACCCAGTTTGTAAATCCTAACCCAGGGACCAGGTCTCAATGATGCAGGCCCGGGAGCCCCCCTCAAGCAGCAGGCACAGCAGGGGGTGCCGAGGTGGGTCCCAGGGCCTGCCTGGAGAGGGAGGCATGGCCAGGGGACACCCGCCTTCCAGGCCCCTAGGCTCGTGTCTGGGGGACCCCACCCTCTGGGCCCTGTGCTCTGGTCGCCTCCTGTCCAACCAGTTGGTCCTTCAGAGCTTGCCACAGGCACAGTCAGGAGCTTAACGTCCCGAGCTCTTACTCCTGCCTGACCTACTTGGGAAAAGTCACAGGGAAAATCGACAAGGTGTTCACGCGGCCTCAGGAGGAACCTCAGGGAAAGAGAACCAAGCATGGGCGGCCCACCCAAGGCCCAAAGCCAAAGTGGAGGAACACAGTGACAGGTAGGTGCCTGAAGTCTGAAGCCAGAACGTGGGAGACAGAGTGACACAGGACATACGTGGACCACCCACCCCAGGTCTGAAGCCATAGTGGGGGGAACAGAGTCACACAGAACACATGTGGGCCACCCACCCTATGTCCAAAGCCCTGGTGGGGACACAGTGACACAGGGTGCGTAGGCTGCCCACCTGAGGTTGGAAGCCAGAGTGCGGGGGGGGACAGAGTTGCACAGGACACACGTGGGCCACCCACCCCAGGTCTGAGCCACAGTGTGTGGGGACACAGCCATGCAGGTCACACGTGAGCTACACACCCCAGGTCTGAAGCTATGATGGGAGGGGCATGGTGATGCAGGACGCACAATGGCCTCCTGCCCGAGGCCTGAAGCCAGAGGTGGGAGAAGCCAGGCTCCGACATGCACCTACCTTATGATACAGGTGAGGGCTGGCCAGCGGGTGAGGGGCGGTGGAGGGCATGGCTGGGGAAGACACGTGGTGGACAGCTTTCAGAGACGGGGTGCCCTCCAGGCCAACCTGTCTGCAGGGAACGGGGGCCACCCCGAGGGCGGGGGGAGGTATGGTGAACCTGGTCTGGACAGAAACAGAGAGCCGTGAGGCCCCTGGAGCCGGTACCAAGGCCCTGAGACCCTCTGCAGAGCACAGCCACTGGTCGCGCCGTCATCCCAGCCTCTGGTCGTGAACTGGACACAGCCCCTACTCCGATATGCACAGTGTGAAGTGCCAGGTGACAGGTCACCATGTTCGACAACTCACCAAAGAGCAAAGGTTCAATAAAAGCACTGTCACCAGAGCAGTAACTGGGCCCCGGTTTCTGCAGAGCCTGATGGTCACTGCCCCGCAGGACGGCCATCAGCCAGGAGCCAGTCCCCGTGTCTGGCCTGCCAGGGGCTCTGGGCTGGGCTGATGCCAGCCAGGCCCGTGTCCCCATGGCCAGCCTGCCTCACCTTGTCTTCCTAATGGCTTGATGGCTGCACCCCCATCAGCAGGAAGGGTGGAACATGCTGCGCCCCTGCCTATCTGGAGCTGCGACCCCCTGACCTCTGGGAAGTGAATGTGCCATCTGAGGGTCTCCACAGATGCTCTCTGGGGGACTCGGACAGAGTGACTTAGAGTGAGCGCAGCACCAGGACGTGGCAGGAACCTCAGCTCTGGGACAAGAACCGCGTCCTGCACCACGGCTTCAGAGAGCCTCCTGGGGCACATGTCCCCACGCCATCCCAGCACAGAGCCCCACAGCACGGGAGGCGCCCTCAGACCTGCCCTCGTCTACCGCGGGGGGGCTCCAGAGCACACACCTGGTTGTTCGTTGTCACGATCAGCGTTCGGGAAGCGGGGGACTGCGGTTTGCCGCTGGGCATGGGCAGGGCTGCAGGCAGAGCGGCCATCAGCGGTGTTGGTGCCTGGAGGCTGAACTGGTAAACGCTGGGAGCTGTGCACGGAGGTGTGTCCGAGTCCTGCACAGAGAAACAGGAAGCACATCACAGAGCCACAGGCGCAGGGCGGGGCTGTGGTGGGGACCGGGCCAGTGTGCAGAAGTGGGCCATGGGTGGAGGAGCCAGGGCTGGTGGGTGTGCAGGAGGCGGGGCTCCAGTCTAGGGCGGGGTCGGTGTGCAGAAGGCAGGACTGGCTAGTGTGAGCAGGTGGCACTGGGAAAGAGTGGGCGGGGCCAGGGCGGCTGGGCTGGGCGAGGCGGGGCTGGGCACTCACAATGTCACTCCCAGACAGCGAAGACACAGAGGAGGCCGAGGAGCCCGAGGAGAGGAGCTGGGGGCTGGACAAGGACAGGGTCAGACGCTGGCTGTAGGGTGACCCAGGGTCTCGGCTTTGGGTCTGCTCCCTGTTGCAAGAGACGATCCGCTCTTTCATCTTCACCCTGTTGTCTGGGCAGGGAAACGGGCCTGGGCTCACCGCTCACAAGCCATGCCAGGGAGCAGGCCAGCCAGCACAAGCCCCATGAGGCCCCGTGAGCACCAAACGTTGGGGTGCAGCTGAGGGCAGACCTCAGCCCTGCCGCGATGCTAGTTCACTTAAGTCTACCTTTAAAACGCCCCTGGCCTCGGGCACTGGAAGGCCTTTACGGACACCGGGAAGAACCTGGAAACGTACATCCCTCGACTGTGAATTGTACGGAATCTGAACGGACCAAACACCCCTGATGGACATTCAGGATCCCCATTAAGGGTAAAGAATTACAAAGGCTTAGCACAGAAAAAGCCGTGAGGTGTCTCACTGGTGACGTTTTATTTTGATCACACACTGAAATGTAATGCTTCACACACGCGGGTGAGTAAGCTGTGTTTTCACCGCTAATTCCGTCTCTTTTTCCCGTTTTCAGGCAAACCACGGAACTCCCTCTGAGGGACATGTTACGTCTCCACTGGGCAGTGCTGGGGAGACCTCGTGTTCTCGGTCTGCGCTGTCTGCCATAAGGGATACACTGTACCCAGAGGCCACGTGGCCAAGCGCCTCTCACCGAGCTCGGGCGATGGGCTGGCCCGGCCGCCCCACTTCTCCTTGATCCAGCGCCGGTAGTCGATCACCTCCTGCGTGACCTTGATGATGCGCCCTAGGGTGCTGCAGGGGGCAGTGGCAGTGAGCGCCCACAGGCTCTCCCCACTCAGCACCTCGCTGGCCAGGGACGGGCCAGGAAGAGCGCCGATGACTTCCCAAACGAACCATGACCCCACGGCTGAATTGAGTGTACTGAGCCCACAGAACACGGGACAGAGAAAGTGGGCTTGCTCCCGTCCAAGACCTCCCACCTATACCTGCCTACAAAAGAAGAGCACTTAAACCGAATTCCTAACTGGGCACCATCCCCCACCCCCCGTGCTGGCCTGGAACAGCAGAGAGACTTGCACGCTGCGGGGGTGTGAATAGAGGCCCAGGGGCCCGGAGCACGGCTGGCCACAGCTGCTCCTGCCTAAGGGCTGCTGTGTCCCAGGACGTGTGGAGGGGCAGCATTGCCTCCACGGTGACCCCAGGATTCCTGCCTCCACCCAGTCCCGTGGGTGCGGGAGAGAGGGGCGCACAGGAGAGATGCCTTCTGGGATGCCTGGAGGAGACTTTCCAGGGCAGAATTCACTTCCCATGGAAAATGCCCAAGAAGATGGTGACACCCTTCCTTAACGCTGGGCTGTAAAGCATCCAAACACAGGCACGGGGTCCCTACAGAGTGGTCCTACAAGGATGCCACGGAAATGTGACAAACATCAAAAGCACAGCAAACCGGCTGTCATGGAGCCATGGGTGTCGGGAGAGCTGGGCTCCACAGCGTTTCCTGGGCTGTGACCTTCACAGGGGCAGGTCCCCAGGCCTTTCTTCCCCGTGCTGCAGGGGGGTTCAAGCCATTGCACCACCCAGCAGCCCGTGATGAACTCCACGGCCTGCAGTCCCCAGGGCCCGGGCGCAGCTCTGCAGAGGCAGACGGCCCTCACCTTTCAGAGTCTCTGTTGGGGTAGGACCTGGCGAGGGGCGACACGGCATGGCTCAACACGATGTAGGCGTAGTCGAACACCTGCTTCACCTGCATGGCACCGTACGAGCTCCGGCCGACGTCGTTTCCTGAGCAGGGCAGGCAGGTCGGCCAGCGCCCTGCAGCTGCCCTCCCACCCGAGCACTCCCAGGCCTGCCAGCCAGGGCCACCAGGATGGGACGTGCAGCCCATCTCAGGGGGGCTGCACGAGGACAGGGACCGGGTGGGGCATGATGGAGCCTGCGAGCCCCGCGGAGATGAGCCCCAGGGAGGTCTGGGAGCACCCAACCCAAGCACAACCACATGGACTAGAGTCACTGTATGTAGAACGGTGAGTCCCAAAGCCACCCCACACCCCATGCGTGGCCTGCGGTCACTCTGCCACATGTACCACAGTCACCTGGTACTACATGACATACCCTGAGTTCACCCCACACCCCACACCCCACGTGTGGCCTGCGGTCACTCTGCTACATGTATCATAGTCACGCGGCACCACATGACACACCCTGAGGCCACCCCACACCCCACGTGTGGCCTGCGGTCACTCTGCCACATGTACCACAGACAGTCACCCGGCACCACATGACACACCATGAGGTCACCCCACACCGCACGCATGGGACAGTCACACAGCACCCACACACCACGGACGGTCACCCGGCACCACACGAGGGTCACCCCACACCGCATGCACGGTGGATGGTCACACTGCAGCCACACACCACAGATGGTGACCCTACACTGCACACACAGATAGTCACTCTACAATGCTTGCACCATGGGCAGTCATCCTTGCTGCACACACCTTGGATGGTCAACCCACACCACACACACCTTGGACGGTCACCCACGCTGTATGCCCCGCAGACAGGCTCATCCCTGCAATGCACATACCGCGGATGGTCACCCATGCTGCACGCTCTGCAGACAGGCTCACCCCCATAATGCACACACCACGGACGGTCAACCACGCTGCATGCTTTGCAGACAGGCTCATCCCTGCAATGCACATACCGCGGATGGTCACTCATGCTGCACGCCCTGCAGACAGGCTCACCCTGTAATGCACACACCGCAGATGGTCACCCACGCT